CATCATTTTTGCCCTGTAGAAAATGGATAGGATATCTTTTTGTTCCTATGTGTGTATGTCAACAAGATTGCATTGCTTCACCATGTGGCTTTGATAATACCTATCAGGTTTTGTTTATTTTGATAAGTTTGCCCTCCTTTCATCTTAGCAACAGGACTTTCTCATGTAATATCTCATGACTCCTTGGTGAACAACAACGATAGGTGTGGAAATAACAGCTCACAATGTAGTGTCTTACCACATGTGTCAATTGCGGTATCCAGATTCTCTCTTCCTGGAGGCAGCTTTTCTCTGTTAAATCACATTGATTTCCATAAAGACAGTAACACAGAAAGGTCATTGTATTGCATCTGTAGAATGGTTCTCAGATCTGCTCTGCGGATTGAGCTATCCTACTCTGAAGTGATTCATACTGCAGTGATGGGTCAAGGCCACTGTGTTCTCAAAGCATTCAGGCCAAACTCAGATGTGCAGAATTTGTTAGCAGGGTCGAATACTTTGGAGGCTGCTACGCTTTTAAACCCAAACCGTCTTTTCTCATCTTGTGAATGAAAGATCCTGAGTCTTCCCTTATGAACTAAAAAAAGAGGAAGATTAAATCTGTTGGATTTCTCTTAGGATAATAACCATTATGCATGCTTTTATATGTCATAAATCAATGGAGAATGTGCAACAGTACAAAGTCCAGAAGTCATCCTCCAGCTTTTAATATCAAAACCCATATAGATATGTGAATTATCAAAGATATAAGAGTAGGTTTAAATGTATTTCTCAGTTTTAACCTAATTTCCTAATGTAAAAAAATTGGAAGAAATGTCTGTAGAATCCTTTCTATAATTTCTCTTTCAATATTGTTCTATTATTTTAAGTTGAGCTTTAAGTCTGTACAATGTACTGTGGACCACAAAATATTTTCAGTTAATTTAGTCCTGTTTGTGGTCAGATTTTGGCTTGTTGTTTTAATTCTTTGGTATTTGCAGCATAGTTAATATCAGAGAAGGTACTGGCCCAAAACAACACCAATAATGGGAATCAACCGAATAATGGCAGAGTTTACATTCAACAGTTTTCAAAGGAAAATCATTAGAGTTATCATTTGGTCCCCATATCACTATTAGTTAGAACCTGTCACCAAAGAAATAATCATACACTTTGAAAGAATATTTCATAGGTTTTATAAACACCACCAAATAAGCCCACAATACCAACTGTTTCAAGTAAATGTTGGTAACTGTCCCATTACAAAGCCAAAGAATATATGATACTGATAACATCATTGTAATACTTACTAGATAACTAACACAAAATTAGCCACCTTAAAAGTAAGAGTGTGAGTCGCTATGCACAGATTAGGGTTTAGGGAAGGTGGTCTACATTTCCCATGGTGGCTCACAAGTATTCATAACTTGAGCTCAGATACCCTGCGACTCAAATGATGGATAGCTGTGAGCCGCCATGGGAACTGAGCCCAGGTCCTCCGCAAGAGCAGCAAGTTCTCTCAACCACTGAGCCGTTTCCCCCCCCCGTCTAGTTTATCTTATATCAGCAACCTTTTCCACACAATGCTTTTGAAATTGTGAATGCCAGAAGTTTTCTGTGACATTTTCAGTCTAGTAGAACAAGTTAAGCAATAAATGTTAGCTTTGTTTTCCATTCAGTTAATTTCCATTCACCTAAATGAGAAATGCCAAGCTTTAGGTAAGGAATGATAAACCAAATGAATATTTTATTTATTCTTTTTCATATAGTACATCCTGATCACAGCTTTCTCTTCCTCTTCTATTCCCAATCCTCTCCCTCCTGCCCCACCTACTCTTCCTTTGTTTCTCTTCAGAAAAGGGTAGGCCTCCCATGGATATCAACCAAACATGGCATATCAAGGATGAGACAAGCTAATAGGGGGGAAAGGATCCCCAAACAAGCAAAGGAATCAGATACAGCCCCTGCTCCCACTGTTAGGAGTTCCTTAAGAAGACTGCACATAACTGTAACATGTGCAGAGGGCCTATGTCAGGCCCATACAGGCTCCCTGGTTAGAGGTTCTGTCTCTGTGGCCATAATGGGCTCAGATTAGTGGATTTCGTGAGTTATCTTGTGATATACTTGACCCCTCTGGTTCCCACAATCTTTCCTACCCCCTCTTCTCCACCTAACTTTTGGCTATTTCCATCAGTTGCTGAGTGGTGCCTCTCTGATGCCATTTATACTAGGCTCCTGTCTACGAGCATAACAGAGTATCATTAGGAATCATTTTACTGACTTTTAGTTTTATTTATATAGTTATTAATTTTGCTAGTCCTGTTCTACCCTTGGTTTCTGGGCTATCTAGCCTCTCTGATTTCTGGCCCTCCATGCAGTGTCAGGGGCAGGCTGTCTCTCATAACATGGATGCCAAGTTATACCAGTCATTTGTTGGCTACTCCAACAATTTCTGTGCCATCTTTACCCCAGAATATCTTATAGGCAAAACAAATAGTAATTCAAAGGTTTTGTAGCTGGGTTGGTGTCTCAATCACCCCACTGGAAGCCTTGCTTAGTTACAGAAGATGACCAGTTCAGGCTTTGTATCCCTTATTGCTAGGAGTCTTAGCTAGGGTCACTCTTGTAGATTCCAGGCAGTTTCTGTGTATTAGGTTTCTATCTCATCCCCAATATTTCCCCCAATTCCAACTGTCTCTCCCAGTACTCTCTCCTTCTATCTTCCCCCCCACTTAATCTCTCCTGTTCCCATCCCCTATCCTACCCAACCGCCTACCCCACCATACCTCCACCCACCCTAGATGTGTATTCTGTTTCTCCCTCTCAGGGAGATTCCTGCATTGCCTTCCTCTCCCAGCTTGAGCTGTCCACACACCTTGAGCTGTCCTAGTAAACCAAATGAATTTTAAAAATATAGTCAGCAATGATTTTTTTGAACAAGATAATTGTTTATTTAGGGGACATGGAAAACTGAGGAATCTTTGTAAAACTTTGTAATTGACAATTCTCTTTAAACACGCTGTTTTCTCTTAAGTAGTTCTTTGTAATCATCATGCGTGTCATCATTAGAGATAATGGACCTACATAGTTATAACTTCACAGCTGCTTGGATTAATGATGCCTTGGACTAGGGTTTCATTGGGTAGGATTAACTGTGTTTAAAGATGGCAAAATGCCATTATAACATTAATGCCAAAATTTAATGAGAACCAGAAGTTAACTTCAAGGACCTTTATAATTTAATATGGGGGCATGATCATGTTCTCATTATTTTAATGTAGTGTCTATCAAAATAAGTTTATCATCTTTATTGTCATATATATATATATTTTACTAAGGCACCATTTGTTGAATCTTGAGTGTATTCCTGTCACTTTGCTGGGGCATTGAGACATAAGACCATTTCCCTTCCTTGATACTAACAACAAGCATCTAATCAGAAAGTGAAGGAATGGGAAATACTTAGGAACTTAAGTCTTCTCTTTGTTTCCTAAGACATACATCTCCTTCATCTCTTGCTTATTTTAATTGTTTAAGATTTATTTTATGAGAATGAGTGTTTTTCCTCTATGAATGTGCTGCATGTGGTTACATGGTGCCTGTGGAGGTCAGAAAGAGCCTTAGATCACTTGGAGCTCAAGTTACAGATGGTTTTGAGCCACCATCAGAACTGAACCCAGGTCTTCTGCAAGAGCAGCAGGTTCTCTTAACCACTGAGCCATCTCTCCAGCCCCTTCTAGTTTATTTTATATCAGTACCTTCTCCAGTTGTAGGTTGCAAAGGGCTAGGGAATTGAATTTCATATTTGTATAGGAAGACTGAAGTGTATCAGTTGGATGCTCAGCTACATGTCCCATCCATGCTTATTGCTTTAGTACACAATGCCTGAACTGTACAGGAGTAGAACATCTGTCTTATATAAAATTGGAAGCTGAGAAGGTAGCAGAAGGGTAGTTGATGACCAGAAGTTTTTTTTTTTTTTTTCTTAGTGTAGTCTTTCTGTGGTGGAGGTGTGTAGTGATGAGGTAGCCCCCTTTTCTTTTAAACACATCATATTTCTGTATGTTTGTAATATAAAATGATGAACCAAGCCCAAGTGCCTCCTCTTCCTTGTTCCTTCTTTGCGTAATCCTGTTTATACATATATGTGAAGAAATGTTAATTTCTTTTAAAGTAATGTACAGATAACAACCAGAAGATGGAAGAAGTAAAAGATGGCAGAGGTAGAAGAGAACTTGTATACAATAACCCCTGATGATGGAAAACCCCAAGTATTTAGTTTGTGGTCCAGGCTTGCTAGTGGCTCAGGCAAAGGAGAGAAATATAAGAGCTTGGTATGATTTTCTGATAATAAAACACATATCACCCATCTGTCAGAACAACTGAGCCTTCTCGGTGTTAATGAGAATGATTTGTCCAGACAGATTGGACAAGAACTGATGAAATGCATAATGAATGGTTCCTTATGAGTTTGTTTTTTATAGAAAATGAAAAAAAAATCAGTGTACACAGTTAATTGTTTTACTCATTGGTCTGTGGAGAACCTGGTAGGTATGGTGTTAAAAGCAAGACCCTATCTTCCTGAAGAAGGGAGTTTGAAACTTCTGGTATGTTTACTATAGAAAGAAGCTTATTTTCTTTTGACCAACAGACATGTGGAGCAGCAGAAAGATGCAAAGATGGCTAGTAAAAGGTAGCATTGTTAAAAGTGGGAGAGTATAAATGGAATTTTTGTGGCAGGATTATATTTGAAAGACTGATCCGGCCTCTGGGAAGTTTTTAAATATGCCAGTTCCTTGTAACAAGAAGATCTGCCCCTGTTCTGAAGAGCATATCCAATTTAGGAAATTATTATTTCATCAAAATTAATGTGAACAATTTTCCCTTTGAGGCTGCCTTTTCCATAAGGTGATGTTTTCCAGATGGGCTTTGTACAAAATTCATAATGGTTTGTGTTTTCTTTTCTTGAGAAAGAGACTTTTTGACATCCTCTATGTTCCCCCTTTCTTTATCCATCCTAGGGAAGAGAGCACCAAAGGCAAAGGAGAAGAGAAACAAGAAGAAGAGAAGGAAGCTGATTGAAAGAGCCCAAGAGCAGCACAGCGTCTTCCTCTCTACAGACAGAGCAAGCCAATAAAAGAAAAGAAATAGTTGGGGCATTTTGAGGGTTTTTGTTTGTTTGTTTGTTTTTGTTATTTGTATTGCAAAAGTGCACAAAGCTACTCTCCAATCCACACTGGCAGACAGCATTCCTACTGCTCTGACCAGTATCCATTTTCAGTAACGTTTTGAAGGGAAGTGCCCAAGCATGGACTCTGGGTTATTTATGCTTTGATTTGAATCTGGAGCCTGTGGTAGTAAAAGCTTGTTTAGCTGCATCAGTGGGAGCTGTTGCATGTGCCCTCCTGTGGTGAGCACAGTGTGTCATAAGAACCTGTCCCTGGCAAGCTGGACCTGCAGCAGGCACTAGGCTGTATATTGCCACCAGAGGATGCACCCGTGCCTAATCTCATGGAAGGAAATACTAAGTAGGCAAGCACTGTTCACTTGTGACTTTTATTTCTCACATTGTGCATTGTCAAAGACAAGTGTGTGAGGAAAAATTGCTCAGTGTCACCTCACAGTGTTCTCAGCATCGGTGACCTTCGAATGGTCCTGTGACGAGACTGCTTTCTAGGTAGGGGTATGCTGTGGGAATTCCTTCTGTCTTTCATCCTAGTGCTAACATGTACAGATTCTGCTGAGCTACATACAAAGCTCCTTACTGTATATTTATGCTTTCTGTGTGTAACAAGTTATACCTGGTTGATAAGATGTCACTTTGTTTCTAGTGGTTCTTAGCCATGGTCTAGTTTTGAGAATTGACAAGTGCTTTATTTCCTCTTGTTTTCTTTTGTTTGTATTATTTTTGGCAGGGGTGGGGTGGGATTGTTTCTAGCTGTAAGTATAGGATAAGCTAGTTTGTATATAAAGTCAAATGACTGATATCAGAGTTTCAGTGCTGAAAGAACTTCCCCAGTTCATGCCACATGTGCATGCACGTAAACACACACACACACACACACACACACACAGTAAGCAGCATGCAGTATCTGGCCATCAGAAGCCATACTCCAGTTTAGTCAAAATGTGATGAGTTATGAAATACAGCTACGAACAAGAAGACTATGTGCAGTTACTTGTATTTACTATACAATTTCTAATTTCAGTTTTTTTCAAACTTAAATAATTCATGACTTGCAACGATAGGTCACCTAGCAAAATTCTTGGGTCTCCGGGGAAGCTGCTATCATGAAAGCACCCAGAAAATGAAGGAGAAAATAGGCTAACGTTCCCCAACTGAGAGTCCTATCTCACATTTCTCTGTTCAGCCAGAATCTATTGCATTAGAACAGAGAGCATGATGGAAGCTTCCTAGCTGACTCACACAGCTGAGATTTCAAAAACATCCTTGTCCCCTTGGGGCCAAATGATTCTTAGGTTTATGAATCAGCATGTTCTAAATGCATTGTCTTCCTGTCTGATCCAGGAGAAAATTAGAACAAAATAAGGTGTAGTTTTGAGGAACCTCCCCCACCCCAAAGCAAAGTATAGCCTTCTCCTCACCTTGCATTGGTAAAACTACCTCTTCAGCATTTTTGTTGAGTAAAAAACATCTTGCCAATATGTATAAACATTATAAGCTTCCTTATGAAAATATTGATGCAAGATAAGCCATATATGAATGTTGTATTCAACTTTAGGGTTTGAGCTTAATCCTAAAGTGTTCACTTTCCTTCATGTCTATTTACACTATATTCCTAAGTGGGTAGGAGTCTCCTTAATATCATACTTCATTGTTAATAAGTCAATGCTTGTTATGTTTCTGGGCTGTTGTTTTTGTGCATTAAAAACTCTAAAATTGCTTTTGGACTGTGTTTTGCTTTAAGAGTACACTTAGGGGAATACTTTACCAATACTACTTCTTGCTAGTAATCCATCAAAACCAAGAGAAAATATGTTGATATCAATATCCAGCATAGTCATTTCTGTGAAAATTATTGCATTTGAAAGTGGGATTTTCAGAAATAAATTGCTCAAGTTCCAATCTCTGAGACAAATTGTTTACTTATCTGTAGCCCTGTGGTTTAAGGACTGCATTAAAACGTACTACATTCCTCCACACCTGCAGGTGCATCACAAGTATTTGAAAAACATTACATCCGTACTGAATGTTTTTGTCATTCCTTAAACTTAATGTATTTAGCAACATTTAAATATACCACTTATACATATTAGGTATTTTTGATAATTTTTAGTGTATGTGGAAGTTTGTACACATAATAAGTTACGTGTAAATATGACACCATTTGCTATATGACATCTTTGGGTTGAGGTGCCTGCAGGACATCATGGAACCAATGTCATGAGGAAAATAAGACAAGCTTTACGGACTGAGTTAAGAATTTAGTGATATCTATTACGTGTGTTTACTATAGCAGATTATCAAGTACTACACAAATTACCTATTATTTCTTCCATTGGCTATTTATATTCACCCCCTCAAACATTCTACCAACAAAATAGAATCCAGTTTATTCAATGGTAGAGAATTTTGCAAGCGTCTATAATCCTGGGTTTCACATCCTATATTGCATATGCACAGATGAACAAATGTGAAAGTATCAGACACCTTCAATATATAGATTGACTCCTAGACACTGTTTAACTTCTATTCTTACGGGAATTTATTTACATCCACTTATTTCTGAGTTTCCTTGTTAAAACATATACAAATCTAAAACTGAGTTCAGGACTATATTTCTCAGTTGGGGTGCAGTCAAGGAAATAAACTAAACCAGGCATTTCAGAGGGACGCTAATATCAAGAATATATTAATTATACAGGTAATAAATGGGCTATGAAGTAAAGTGAGTTACCAAGGTAAGCCCCTATTATGCTTAGGGTGAGGAGGATTACAGGAAAAGGTGGAATTTTCAAAACCTACCTACCTATCAAGCTCATTCCTAAAAGCTTAAAGCTACAGTTGAGCTATAACCAGAGGAAGCTGGGGCCAAGGACAGAACACTTGTCTAGGAGGACCTGAAATCTCAGACATAACCTGGCAACTTTGAGAAATGTTGCAAACTCAGAAAAGAAATGTCCAGGCTTGCTTCTTTCCTCAGCCACTTCTTAAAGGGCGGCCATCATTCAGATTATTCAGATCATGTGAGCAAGAGATTCCGGGTAATACCATGCTCCAATGTACAGAAGTCTAAGTGCACACTGGCCAGAATAACCACCAAGGCCTGCCGTAGAACACCTCTGTCTTCTTAGATATAATGTTTATGTATGTGGTTAAGCAAAGGTCCTTGTGTTTCTCATTTACTTCTGTTCTCTACAGTTTGTCAGTAACTAAATCCTAGTAAGCCTTTTTTGATGAGTGTTTAAATTCTCTCTCTTTCTCTCTGAGGGCTCACCATTTTTTGTTCCATTCTGGACAGTTATTTCTAAATATTGCTGCTTACTCACTACAAATATCCCCTTATGTTCTTGCTACTTCTTTTTTATTAACATAATGTATTCTACTATTCTCTTCTTAAATAATCTCCTATTCCTTGTAAACATTTAAATGCTTTCATATTAAAGCTGTGTCTCTTTAGCATTCTGTTAACACAAGTTTCTTATAGAGATTGAGAAGACTCTGAATGAAATGAGGTTAGAGGTAATGTCAGGTCTCTAAACTGTTCAGTTTGCACTTGCCTATTGCCTTAATTAATAGTCTTTGGAATATAAAGACGAGAATAGATCCAAGGAGGTTTCTACCTTAAAGCAGAATAAGGGGCTGTGTAGTCTGGAAAAGCTGTGTTGAGTATTTAAGCAGATTGCCATATAAATATGTGGAATCATGTTAGCAAACCACCACATACCACCCCTCCAGCTTTAACAGATGTTGATCCTTCTTTCTTCTTTTAAATCTAGTTATTTACTTTATATCCCAATCAAAGCTTTCCCTATCTCCTCTTCTCCCAGTCTCTGCTTCTCACCTTACCTCCCCCACCATCCACACCTCCTCTTTTCCTCAGAGAAGGGGAGGTCTCCCGTGGATATCAACCAGGATGTCATCTGGGTCTCTTGTTCTGAGTAACAATATTTAGGGGACAGAATTGGCAATAAATGATTCCACTTTTTATATTTCAAGCCTGAAGTTGTTCTAGGTAGCTAAGATGAAACAGCTAGAATTTAGTTGGTTATAAATATGGCCCTTAGAGAAAAGGTCACGGCCAGAATATAATTCGGGAATATATTGGGATGTAGATTGCTCTTTGAATCATACACCTTCATGTGTTGGCTCAGAAAGAATACAGGTGTGAGAACAAAGACTTTGAGACACTCAAACCTTTAATATCAACCACAGGATGGTATGGAAGTAAAAAGGTATCCCAATAGGAACACCAGAAGCAGGTACTGCATGTGACCAAGAAGAATTGCAATGGGAATTGTAACACACACCTATGTCCCAGCGCTCACAAATTTAGAAGCCTGAGGCAGGGAAATTAAAAGTTCATGGAAAGACTCAGATAGGTGAGGCCTGCTCATGCTACAGGAGACACATCTTTAAATCAGGTTAGAGTTCCAGGCTTTACGCAGCTCCCTTCCCTCCTAATTTATGGTACAAATAGTGAGAGAAGTAAGGAAAATTAGAAAAAAATGTAATAATTGAAAGTTAGTGACTTCTTAATTTTATTTCTGAACTATGCACTACAGGAGTAAAATTTACAAACAGCTTACAATCCCTTGAAAGTGGTTTTGATATAGAAAAACTTAAAGAACGTCAATGCTTAAAATACTTAGAAACTACTCTTCACATAAATGTGATAATGATACTTAATTTCAGGTTACCATATCATCTAGCCATTTCATTTACATTTATGATGAAATAATTATCTCAATGGCCCTACAAAGATTTTTCTCTTATTGCTTTCAAAATCAATAAAATGTATCAAGTGAGCTACAAAACAAGTATTCTGTGAATTATAGGTCCTTGAGTTTGTAATTTTCAGCACTGAGGATATTTCAAACTTGTAATTATTGAGTTACTTTGGTAGTAGCTCTCTGATGTGAGTGCATACATGTCTGAACAGAATTAGGCAACGCACATGCACACAATCATAGTATTTAACTAAACCAAGATCATCATAAAAGTACTTTTTTTTCCATGCTTTTCTGTGTAAAATAGAGCAAATGAAATAGAGCTTTAATTCCTTACATTTCATATTTAAATTAAATAAAGGTGCAGTTATACTTTCCCCATCACACACGCCTGATCTG